ATATATATATGTATATATACAATGTGTTATGCGTTTATAACTTGTGCACTCCTACACATAAGCGTTGCTACACGCTCATAGTGTTATAATATGTAGCTCGAACAATATGCACCACATATGCGTTGTCAATTGGTAAGGTAAAGTTAATGGATTCCTCTAACAATAAGTAGGCTCGGCAAATGCGAATTTATTAGCCACGTGCAGAACACATGAACAATCCGTTATAATTCGATTGACTTATACGAAGAACAATTGTAAATACGACAGAAAGTAGAATTGGAATTATATGATTGAAAAAAATGAGAGAATATCGAATATTTATGAAACAACTTGATCAATTCGTAAATCCTCCAGTTATTGTTAATATTTTCAATTTAAATCAATTTTTTTCCTTCTTGATTATGGATTTTTATCTTGCAAGGTCACAATAGGTTTATTCAAGATTTAATTATATCCGGTATGTAGATTGATTAGCTCCATGAAAATATTTGGCTTGTTCCAATTCAACAAAATCTAAAATATCATCTATAATGAGAATTCTATGTTAAGGTTTAAAATAATGTAACAGGTGATTATAAATCAAGTTTAAAGTCTTTAATAAACAAGAGGATATTTTTAACTATACTAACTATATTAAAATTAAAATTTCCAAAGAGACATTCTGAAGAGGAAAATAACAAATAATTTGATAATAGAATAAGAAAGCAGATAAAGAATTAATAAATTTGATTCTTTCGCCATTAAAATTTCCAAATAATCAAAGAATATGATTCAAATGTTACAAATAATGAATAAACATTAATATGAAGGAGAGTCAATTATTTTAATTTTAAGGATTATTTTAAATTCAAGACTTTCGCTTATTCGATAATGATATGCGAAATATGATACTTTGATCTTAAATTTCTTCAGAAAATTTAAATTAATAAAAATTTCAATAAAGTTGTTCACATAATATCTTCTTGTTCCAACATTTTCTTTAGAGTTCTAACTCAATACGCGACGTATAAAATATAGCGAAATCTCGGTCGACTGAAATTATCGAACATTGGTCAGATTATGCAAGAATTCAATATAAACGAGTACGTACACATTATGATGATATTTTTACGAGGAGTTTTTAACCGGAAGAAATCCGCCAACGAAAGGGTCAAGCGAGACGAATGGGCGCAACAGTGCGGCGATGCATCGCTATTAAATGCAAAGCATTATAACGGTACGTTCGCAGCCATAGATTTTGGCTTCTCGGTTGTTATAATGTCTGCTCTGCACGTGCGATCGGACCTC